GCCCACCCACACAGCTCACACTGCCTGATCACCCCCCACCCCCGCCCAGCCCCAGTAGTCAAGGAATAAAAAAATCAAAAAACCCCACACTCACAGGTGGTAGCAGTGGCTGTGGGAGCTCTGGGTTCATGATCTTCCCTCCCCCACCCAGGCCCACCCCCAATGGCTGCCTCACCCAGCCCCAGCATCCCGGCAATTTAAAAAAAAAAATTCCTGCAAACTGCCTCTGGACATCAGCCCTGCCCAAGACTGCCATGAAGTACCACACCTCCTCCCAGGTCCAGTTGGGGCCCCTGGCACTCAGGATGGGTATGGGCACATGGGCAGGGCAGGGGGGTCGATGAAGAGGATGTGCTGAACATGCTCCCCCTGCTGGCTGTCTGGGCCCTCATGCAGCTGTCCCCACAATGACAGCCCTGGAGGGCTGCCAGCAGCACTCAAGACAGGGGCACAGCCAAGGATGGGGAGCCACACAGCAGCGGCACTGCACAGTGCCTACAAAGAGACAGAGCTGGGGGTGAGCAGGAACAGGGAGCAGGTGCTGGCCCTGCTGCCATAGAGAGCAGAGCAAGCAGACCTGGGGGGAAGCTCAGGGCTGGGCAAGGGATGCAGCAGCCCTTTGCAACATTCAGCTGTGGCCAAGGAGCAGTTCCATCTAGGGCCAGGATGGGGAGATCACCATCAGACTGAAAACATAGGGACTCTACTAAATGAAGGTGGAAACTGAGCAACAGGATTTTAAACCTAAGTGTAAGCTTTAGAGAATCATCTAGTCCAAGCCCCCTACTCAAGGCAGGATCTTCTCTGTTTAAATCATCCTAGACAAGTATTTATCTAACCTTGTTTTAAACTTCCAAGGAAGGAGATTCCACGACCTCCAAAGGTAACCTGTTCCAATGCCTAACTAACTTAATAATGAGAAAGTTCTTCCTAATATCCAGCCTAAATTTCCTTTTCTGAAATTTAAGACTGCTAGTCCTTGTCCTGTCCCCTGCAGCCATCAGGAACATTTCAGCATGTCAGCAGGTTAATCTAAACCAATAAATAATATATGGAAGGAAAAATGGCATATAGCCATTAGCCACATAGTTCATAATGATATAATTATAAAGATTAGTGCCATCAAAGAACTCACAGGGAATATTAATATATCAGTTCTGGATCATTGGCAACTAAAGTACTGCGTAGGAATCCCAAGTGTCAAGACACCATTAATGTGGACAGGAATACAGGAATACTAATTATGGGAAAGACCACTTCAGCATGTCTGATGTCCTCATGGTATAATGAATAGTTATTGATGGATCTAGAAGATAAGACTACTTATATGAAAAGATTGGAGAGGGTCTAAAAACAGAAATAACTTTGTGTAAATGAGAAAATATCTGGACAGTAGCTGAAACATGACTTACGTGTCTTAGCATTATAAGCAGTTATTACTAAATAGTACATTAATGGCCCCACAGGCCTTTCAAAGTAAGTTCAATATATATTAAAAGGGAGAAAAAATAGAGATGATGATGTTGAGCTTTAAATAATTTTCCCTAATTTCCCTAAGAAAATAGTATTTGTGGAGAAAAGTAATTTTTTCAAGCTAATGTTAGTCTCCTTACCAACCCCATAGTAGATCTGTTACGTTAAATAATATAGTTACTACTAGAAGCCAGATACTAAGGCAGCTCCCTCAACATTAGCCAAATGAAAAAAAGAAATCGTTTCAACAGAAACAGTTAGATTGCCTTATAACATACTCAAATACATGTTATAAAGGAAAACAAGTATCTTTTTTGGTGGATTCTTTCAATGATTATTTCCTCTTTTTTGACTGTTTTATTTTTTAACATGAAGGAAAAACTGAAGATACTTGCATTACTGGAGCTATCTGGGAGGGATCCAACATGGTTGATTATGCTATGCACCGTACACTGAAAAGGTAAATATATATATATATTTTATATATATGAAGGTCATTTCAAGCGAGTGACTTCAGTGACACTAAGATGTGGCCTTAAGCATGTCCTAAACTGATCCAGCCTGTTGTATAATATCCTGGAAATGCATTAATGCATAGTTCTATCATTTGACAACTAACAGGACACTTTAAATGTCTGTACAGTTAATGGGTGAAAAAAGAGAGTATATATTAACAACGCTGAGTTTCTGAGTAATTTGAATCTAAACTAAGATGGCTGGCTGCATAATGTTTTGACTCAATATTTTCTGAGTTTTCACACCTACCCAGATGTGTATTATGCTAATGTGCAACACTGAATTTTCATTATATTTTCCCAGTAATACAGTCAACTAAAAAAGAAAAGTTGAAGGCAGGGCAGAGTACCATCTTAGAGACTAACTCCTGTTATCTTTTTCCATAACAAAGAAGACAATTATTGAAAGCCAGGTGATAAATTTGAAACTGATTAAATGAGTATTTATTAGACCCAGTGTAAGCTGTTGGATCTGATGTAAGCTGTTTATTGGATCCAGTGTAAGCTGTTAACAGTTAGCTCTTTCCAAGGCAGGATATTATTGGTGAAGAGTTTAACAGAGTAAAGAATGCATTATAAAATATATTATACATTTTCCATTGTGGGAAATGCTTCATTCTGCAAGCTAGAGAACAATCTGATCCTGATACAAAAAAGAACTTAATTAATTGCTAACTTTATTCACATTAGTAACAGAAGAACATATCTATGTTTTGCAAGATCAGAGCTGGAATGCTAATTACCTGTAGGCTGAACCCATAAACATGTGGTTAGCATCTATATTTGCATTAACTATTATAATATAGCAGGGTGGACCAACTTCAAGGCACAAACTGTTTACTAGATAAAATCAATAAGACACATTCCTGTATCATGCAACATTACACCATTTAATGCATTGTAAGCCAAATCAGTGTGCAAATGAGTTTTGTAAAAGTCAATGAGAGAACATCTGTCTATGTAATTTTTCTCTTTATGGGTGTTTTGCACCTTTCTTTTAAACATCAATCCCTGGCCATGGGCAGACCTACATATAAATGGTCTATTCTGATATTCTCCTAAACATCTTGTAGCATGTCCTAAAATACTTCTGTGTTTTCATTTAAAAATGCAGGCAATACAAGTTAAACAATTTTTCTTTTTAAATATTAGAAAAAAGTTGCTACTTAAGCTATGGGTTTACTTACTGCAAGTCCTGAGAACTAAGGGAGAAATTGGTTTAACTCAGTGTCTGAACTTCTCAAAGTTCTGGAGTTCACAGAACTGTGAAAGCTCAAATCACATGCTTTGGCTTCCAAATAATTGAAGGAAGCCACAGTACAATACAAATCAACTCCATGTTGCCCTTGAGAATGAAAAAGAACTCATGGGATGAAAAAGCGGTTTCTTATTCAGTCTGAGATTGAGAAACTCTTAACCATCTTGGGTACAGTAGTAAAAGGTTATGTTTGCCAAATTCATGAACTAGGTTTCTGAACTGCAAACATGCCGAGTGCACAAAACTAGATTTCATTTCTGACCTCAGTTTGAACTTGAACTGTGATCATAATGTACAGATGCATTTCCTCAGTCAAGTTGTTTAATATCACAACTGGATTCTGGAATTATTTTAGTCCCTCACCATTTACTTAACTGCCGTAAATATTGAATGGCAATACATTAAAGTTATTGGTTTGAGTTATAGTTAAACTTCTTTTTTAAATACAATGAGTTTCTAGAAAACATATAATATCTTCAAAATAGCATTTCTGAATAATAGCCTGTTCCAATTCCTACTGCTTACTGTGCTGTTCAAAATTATCTCATTATTATCCTGAATTTACCCTGTTTGTTGTAACCTCCTGTTGTCTCTTACTGTGAACTCCAGGTTGTCAGTAAATCTAACATTATCATTATTATAATCTATTATTTGCATTTAATCAGTGCCTAGTTGCTCCAATCAGGACTCTGTTAGGAATGGTTCATACATAAGCCTTGTAGAGCCTACTGTCTAAGGCTGCTTGTACATGTAACAGGGTGTGGCAGAGCATTGTTGGTGCCTGCCACTTTAAGGGCTCAGCCAAGCAGCCAGCAGGTGCTTGATTGCGGTGACCATTTTAGCTCTCTGGCCACCTATATAAACAGAGCAGTTTGCTGCTGGCAGTGCAGGCAATAACATTGCCTGGCTGCAAAGCTGCATGCAACATCCTGGAGGTAAAGGCTGGAGCTTGAGGGAATGGTTTGGAGGCTCCTGGGCATGACCTAAAACTGCACCCTTCTAGGAATGGGTGGCCTGGTGGGGCTCCCAGTGGTGCAGGAGCCTCCAGGAAATTCCAGGCCAGTTACCACCCTGGTGAAAGGTGGGTTAATAACCCCAGCTCCCACAGCCAGGTGGATTACCCCATAGAAGGGTCAAGAAGGCAGACCCAAGTTAGAAAGGGGGCTAGAGGTTCATAGACCTGACTTAAAAACCCTTGACTGGTCAATGCTGGGGCCAGGACCAGAAGTGTCAAAAGGGCCAGGGGCCCACCACAAGGAATGCTGAGAGCTGAGTGCCTGGGGTTCTGATTAACTTTGGAGGTGAGGCCAGGGCCTGTGTGTCCAAAGGTCTGAGGAGGACCACACCCGAGGGGGAGAACAGCTCAAGGAGATAGGCAGCCCTGAATGAAGGCGGAGTAGTCTGCTCGAGTGGAGGGATCCAGTTGGGGTCTGGATTGGAGGACTCTGGGTCCCAGTGTGGGGCCAGTGAGGTTAACATCTGTGGATGCCATCTGCAAGGCTTGGGCTGCAGTGTAGGGGAGAAATGGAGCCGCAGATAGCGCCCCCTGGCATTGGGGCAAGAAATAGGCAGCCTCCCACCTAATTAACAGCATAATTATATAACAACAAGGTGAGGCAGACAAGAAGGTGGGTGGTTGGCCCAGAAACAGATGGGTGGGACAATGGCAGATTGGCCCCGAAGAAGCCCTCTGTTATACAGGGGTTTAGTTTTCCCTAAATTGCAATGGTGGGTTTTTAATTGGTGCATTTTTAATTGTGTTGATTAAAAACCCACCATTTCAATTTAGGAACTTCCATCACATCAAAGTGATGGCCCCCTGTCAGCTCACCCACCTCCCCTCCCTGCCCCTGTTGCTGTGGGCAGGATCCACCGGAAGGAAAAAAAAAAATCCTTAGTTTTTTCCCAGAGCCTCTCCTGGGGCCAGGGGGCAAGTTGCCAGCAGACCCTCAGCTGCAGGGTTTCTGGCCCTTCCCTCCTCAGCAGTGGCACCCCCGGGACTGTCCAGGCAGGGTGCAGTGGGTGGGTGCCACCTGGTAGGGCTCTGTTGCCACAGAGGGAAGAATGAGACCCCCTGTAGCTCGGGGCCCGCCAGCATCTTGCCCCACAGCCATGGGAGAAGAAGGCAGGCTCCAGGAGAAAGGGAAAAAAATGATCAGGCCCCTCACCACTTTTTTCTTTTTTTTTTCCTCAGTGCAGCCTGCCCACATGAGCTGCTGCTGGGTCACAGCCCCTGAGCTACATGGGGCCCAGTGCTTTCCTCCGTGGTGGCAGTGTTCCTTAGGACTGTAGGGTGGGGTGCTAGGGGGTGGGTGCCACCTGCAGGGTGCCTTGCTGTGGAGGGAAAGTATAGGGTCCCCACAGCTCAGGAGCCACTTGGACTGCTGGCATCTCACCCCCTGGCTGTGGGAGAGGCAGGTATACTCCAGTGCCCCATGCACTATCCCCACCACCTTCCCACTGTCTAGGACTGCCCAGGAACAGGCTGGCTTGCCCCTGGGGCAGAGTGGCAAGGTGACAGGAGGGCAACTGGGTGTACTGACAGCAGAAGAAGGTGGCAGGGAATGTAAGCCATGGCAAACTGGTCATATCCTTGTACCAGGTTACAATCAGTAACCACTGAGTAATCAGTCTTTGAAAAGATGAGGAGAGTTGTGCATACCAAAAAGTAAAACCATAAACTCATATAGTCCCACAGGTGCGATAAAGGCAGACTTGGCTATGGCATCCAGATCCAGTGCCATTTGCCAGAATCCTTTGGACAGATCAAGAGTAGAGATGACCTTGGCTGGGCCCAGGCAATCAAGCAAAGAGTCTGTCCTGAGCATAGGGTAAGCATCAGGGGTGGTAATAGGATTCAGCTTCCTGTAGTCCACACAGAACCAGATAAACCCATCCTGCTTCTGGACAAGTACCACCGGCCTGACCCAGGGACTCACTGAAGGCTGGATTACACCTAACTCCCTCATCTCTGTGATCTCCTGCTTTATTTTCTACATTACCTTTGCATTAACTGTGTATGGTCTGGATTGGATAGGGTGATAGACTGTGTCTATAGACTGTACTGTCAGGTCTGTTTTACGTGGTTTGTTGGAGAACACTGTCTCAAAGTCCTTGAGTGCTGTGAGTAACTTGTCCTTGTCCTGGGAGGGCAGATGATCTGGCAGGCGAAGTTCCTGTATTCCTGCCTCTCCATCCCAGTCACTATACATGACCGGCTTCTCTGGGTCCTCGGGTGATCCTTCGACTAAGGAAATCCACAATACCACATCACTTCTATTGAAGTATGGTTTAAGCATGTTCACATGTACTATCTTAGGCTTTTTGTCTGACCCGCTCCACGTCACTACATAAGTTACATCATCCAGCCTGTCAAGGATGACATGGGGACCTTCCCAAGATGCTTGCAACTTGTCTGTCTTTAGTGGCAGTAAAACCATGACCTTATTACATCATTCAAAGGTTCGTAAGTGAGCCTTGTCATTATACCAGACACTTTGTTTCTCCTGGACCTGGGCCAGGGAGTCTCATGCCACCTTCATCATGTCAGTTAGCTTCTGATGAAAGCTGAGCATGTATTTTACCATGGAAGTCTTAGTGGAAGAGATTGTCTCTTCCCACTCTTCTCTCACCAATTCAAGAGGACCCCTAACTCTCCTTCCGAACATCAATTTGAATGGTGAGAAC